GGGAAGGAGGCAGTCGTGGCAGATCAGGCTTTATAACGACTACAGAGGCAGAACTGACCGGAATTCCTGAATGACGACGATTAACAAAGTATAAAGATGCTACCGATAACATAGGCACACGCATGCGCACATACAAACCCTTGGGGAGCGTGTGACTGTAGTCACGTCCAGGTGTGAAGAGGGGGGGTGGATGTGAAAATAAAGAGAAGTGAATCATATCTACGTCGGTGGATAATACAATAATTATTCCAAAAATAGCGTGCATGACACGCGGTGGGGGAGAGGAGACGGACAGTTTGCCTCTGCCGAGTGATGAGTGGCGGTCGCACTGGGGACCGTTCAGAGAAAAACAGGGGGGAGTGGGGGCAGATGGAGGGACGTGATGACCTGTCCGTCATCATGGCAGCCAACAAAACGTTAACCTGATGTGGGGAGGGGGCTGAAAGGTGGGGATCGGAAACGGCCGAAATAGCAACCAAAATAGACGTGAAGACCGGATGCAAATCTACAGTTTCCGGAGAGGGATGAGGCAGGTGCGCCGGGCTGCCCTGTTCAGTTGTCAGCACTGGCCAGCGGCGGTGGAGGTGACGTCTCTGGCATCGACGGGGTCTTTCCATTGACGGGTGTTGGCCGAGTCGCCTCTCTCACATTGTCCTCAGCGTTCTCCTGGGGTGGGCTGCTTTGCATATCCTCTTCGCTCTCCTGCCGAGAGGTGGATAAGATCAACGGGGGTGCGCTTGTGGCGCCCGGACAGGCGGAGAGGGGGGTGTGATGAGGTGAAGGGAGACTAGTAGTGGAGGGGCTCTTGGAGGCGTATCGGTGGTAGGCCAGCTGGGAGGGCACAGGAGAGGATGGGGTGGAGATTGACGGCGTCGTAATCGTCGTGGTGGGGGTGGTGGCGGTGCCAATGCATGCGGGTGGCCATCGGGCTGTCCGGGGGGTTGCAGACAGGTGGAAAGAAGATGAGGAGGGAGAGGACGAAGAGGGGGAAGGGGGTGACGTAACAGCAACAGACTGCTCTAGGGCAGGTGAGGGCTGTATTGACATCTGCATTGGAGCGCCCTCGGAGCTACGCAGGAACTTTGATGCCCTGCCACTACTGCCGCCACCAGAACCGAAGGGGTCAGGGGAACTCTCTCGACTATCATCAGTGCTAGACTGACCTCCACCGCCACTGCAAGCCGTCTGAAAACAGGATGGATAGATGCGTTTCCTGCCAAGGGTAGAGTTCAGAAGTAGGGGGCTGGCACTTCCACCACTGCTCGTACTGGCTGTGCGTTTCTTGGAGCCTGGAAGACCAAATGATGTGGGCCCAACGCCCGGGGAGTAGCATTGGACACGAGAGGAGACGGGGGAGGCGGCCGGTGAGGGATGGCACGAGGCCGGACGAACTAGAACGGTAGGACTGTTGACCGAGGTCCCACCGCAAACACCGGGCCCGGCTTTGGTGCTTTCAGTAGTGCAGACAGACCCGACGCATGAGCTGCTCGAACAGGTGACAGAAATCATTAGCGGACCGCTGAATGAGTGTGGACGCTGGTGGCTGATGGGGCTACTGCCAGAGGAGCCCGGTGAGGAAGTTCCACAGTCGGAGACATCCTGACGTTCATTGGCTGAAAGGCGAAGACTAGCCCAACAGGAGGATATACGCGAGGTCTCGGTGAGGAGTTTCTCGTGCTTCATCTCATTTTCGACGTGATCCTCGGCTGACATGTAGAACTGGGCGGAGGCGCGCCTGGCGGTCTTGTGTTTCTGCATAGCGAATTCCATATCACGGTGTGTCTCTTGGACGGAAGGCGAAGGGACGAAGACTAGTTTTGGGTCTCTTACTGGGGACTTGTTAGACCTGTGAAGTGAAGAAAACAGACATTGGTCAGACGGCGCCAATTTAAATAACGGTGACGTCGTTGTAGTCAGTAGTTCCGCTACCAATCAGGATGGACAGCGAACTGCAGAAGTTTATTCTCGAAAGTGCGAGGTAGTGGAGGGATTTAGGGTCATCTTTTATGACGAAAGACCACATGATGCAACAACTTGCAGCCAGAGCATCCGCAGTGCATCGAACGGAAGCAGCACCGACAAGCAGGGTGAGTTGGTGCTTACTATAACTAACACAGCAGTAAGTCACCTCACAGTTCGCAAACACATGATTTCGTGACTGATTTACATACAAATGTACTTTAGCCACATGGCCCAGAGGGTGGACGCCAGAAATCTCAAACTTGAAAATAATGAATTAACGTGCAGTGAGTCACAACTTCAACAGTGACAGTGAACGAACTACGAATAACTATTTGTGGAACCGCTAGTAAATGATGGAGTTGACCGCTGTGTCATTGCAGATTATAAAACATTCTCACTCTTGGGGACTCACAAACGTTCGTGCACAGATGCTTCAGGTGTTGACAGTGTCGAGTACACTGAAGTTCAAGATGCGGTTTGCAAGACAAGTGCAGTAGATGTTCGAACTCATCAAGTGCAAACCAAAATTCCGAAATGCGTTCTCGACTCGAAAAGACTACTTAATTAAGGTGTAATATGAATCGTCGTGCAGCATAAGCCCCGAATAATCGAGTCACTTCAGGATGCCAGCTTCTGAATAAACTTCTTTCCGGGAGTCTGCAAAAACGACAGTGTAGAAAATGACTGCTTAAGTAGCACATATTTTTCTCGCTAATTTTCGATGCCCTTGCAAATTCAAATATATTTCATATACAAAATGCATAATAATACTCATCCTTTTACTCATTTGGTAGAAAATTACGTCTTCTCTAAATTTCATACTTGAAGGAAGGGAATAATTTAGTTTTAAAGGAACTTTTCCAATCCCGGAATACATTGATATTCATTGATATGAAGCCCGGAATAATTTTGTATTCAACTTGCCATTACACTTGCATTCGAGGTCTCCAAACTACAAGCTGTACATCTTCCGTGTACGGAAAATCATACACTCCTATGCGCTATTAAGAGGGGACCATATGGGATTTCAAAAAATCTAGTAGCGGATCTAAGCCATGTTGTAAACTTTACAAGCAACACTCACATGACGTTTTATGAACGGGCATTCCACGATGTCAAAAACCACATAATAAGAAACTTCTAAAAGCCGAATTTCACGATTTTTTCAAGCATAAAATTTGATAACGCAATTTTCTACCAAATGAGTAAAAGAATACTTTTTTGCATGCTTTAATGAAACACATTTGAATTTATAATAAATGGAAAATTGCAGGCTACTTCAGTAGCCACAATCTACCGTGTAGTTTTTGCCGGCTACCTGGAAGAAGTTCGTTCAAAAGCAAACGCCCTGAAGTAACTGAATTATCCTGGGATTATGCTGTAGGGTGATTCATGTTACAATCATACTTAGGTAATCTTTTCGAGTCGAAAACGCATTTCAGAATTTCGGTTAATATTTTCATGAGTTAGCACATCTACTGCAGGTCTGGGCATTGGCGGTGCCGGTTTAGATGGATTAAAGGTGCAGATGAATTGACTGGGGCTGGGATAACTGAAGACGGAATGCTACACATAAGTGGAAACTCTATGCCCTCTTGACCCATTCTGTAAACCTCTATTCGTTGTTCATTGACCATGTGTTACCTGTGTTAAGGCTCCAGTCAAACGTCAAACCAATGTTGGTTAGCTGGACGCGGTAAAATGCGAAAGATGAGGCAGGAGCTTTTGACCATGACTAAAATGACTTTAAGAAACGCCGTTTGGGGTCAAACAAGTCGGAAATGTGACCGCCTCAGTCGATTTACGGTGACCACCAAAGATGGAATCCTGAAAGTACTTAAGCTCGACTTGTCTTCCCAGAGAGCACCTCCGGGAGAAAGTTGAACTCAACAAGAAAAGTCTTCTTCAACTCCACAATTCCCAACGGAACCGAGCGAAGTCAGCCCTCACAGCATATTCCAACTGAGGAAGCTTTCAAAGCGACTTCGCCAGAGGACTGCAAATAGTGAAACCAAGAGGAGTGACTGGTGGGAGATTGACGATTTATTTAACAGTGGTCCCCAACGTCCCCCTCTCTCCTATCAAGACGGACTAACTCTCCGGTTAGTGGACTAAGCTAGAAAATGTGGTTCGCCGACCGGGGAAGGAGCTGACCTCCTCCTATACACGCAGAAAGAGGATTAGCTCCGACTGTGGGACAGGGGGGAGGATTAAGAAAGGGCTCGGTGCTAACTAATAATACTAATTTCACTGACCGTTTGGGGACACACTGACAAAAAGGGTCAAATTATTCGGCAAAGGCGGCATTACTGCGAGTCCTTTCACCTTATACGCATAGGATATTGTTCTAACCAAAAATTACTAGAGCTAACAGTAGGTGTGCTAACTCATGAAATGTTAACCGAAATTCTGAAATGCGTTTTCGACTAGAAAAGATAACTTAAGTAGAGCTGTAGTATTAATTAACGTGCAGCATAGTCCCAGGACATTTCAGTTATGTCGGGATGCCGGCTTTTGAATGAGCTTCTTTCCGGCCACTTGCAAAAACTACACTCTGTAAGAATGATTACTTAAGTAGTATTCCCTTTTTCTCATCGATTTTCGCCGCCCTTACGAATTCAAATATAGTTTGTAGAAAACATACATAAGAATATTCATTCTTTTACACATCTGGTAGAAAACTACGCCTTCTTCAAATTTCATACTTGAAGAAAGGGTATAATTCGGCTTTAAAAAACTACCAATTCCTGAATAATTTGTATTCGGCCTGCCATTACACTTGAATTCGAGGTTTCCAAACTGCAAGCTGTATATTTCCCCTGTACGGAAAATCATACATTCTCATACGCCATTAAGGGGAGACTATATGGGACTCAGAAAATTTAGCAGCGGATTTAGGCCATATTGTAAACTTTCCGAGCAACATTAGTAAATGCAGAGACATGCTGTTTCATAAACGGGTATCCCACGGGGTTAAAAAATCTCATAATAAATAACTTTTTAAGACCAAATTATACCTTTTTTAAGCATAATATTTGAAGACGTAATTTTCTACCAAATAAGCCGAAGAATGAGCATATTATGCAAGTTTTCAAAGAAATAAATCTGAATTCGTAAGAGTATCGAAAAGTAACGAGAAGAAGTCATGCTACTTATGCAATCGTTTTTTGTAGTGCGTAGTTTTTGAAGGCGACCGGAAAGAAGTTCATTCAAAAGCCGGCATCCTAAAGTAACTGAAATGTCTTGGGACTATGCTGTACAGTGGTTGATATTACAACCCCAGTTAAGTAATCTTTCCCAGTCGAAAGTGCATTTCATGAGTTAGCACATCTACTGTATGTAGGTAAAAGCAAGCAAGTATGAAGTAGAAATGTAAAACCGTTGATTAAGTAAAAGGCGACACTACTTTAAACCCACAGTTTGGAATTTGGAGTAGTGTCGCCTTACGGGTACCCATCATCCAGATGGCATTAACCTATTCTAATTTACTTTGGAATACTGAAAACCATTTTTAGGGCTCCGAATTCAACCGTCTGCTGAGAAAGCGCTGTACTGACGCTAATTTTGCCAAGACCAGCAAAGAATCACTTAAACCAGAAGCCACAGGGTGTAGTTTGACACTGATTTTGTAGAACCTGAACGACAGACATATCCAACTAATTTGCCGCCTTGACAAGGCAGACTGAGATACTTCATTCTGTATGTAAATAACGAACAGACATTTATGCTGTGAACAGTGCTCAGCTCTGTGCAATAACGCGAGCAGATGAAAGTCCCCGGACGATGTATCATTTCTACTGTGCTCTGGTGGGTGGTACATCAGAGACCCGTCTGTGAATCTGCCATCACACACCCTGGTCCAATGTGAGCACCTTATCAGGATTTCACCTAGCAAGAAAAGGGGGGGCGGCTCAGCTCCCAACTGAGTGGCATATTAGCCGCATTAGGATGGGTGGGATAAAATTAGGACAAAAATCATGCGGTCCAATGCCGAAGTCGGGAAAGTACAAACGGTGCTTATTTTAAACTGCACAGACATCAACGTCAGCGGTGTCTTCGAAAGCACAGATGGGGATAAAAACCTCAGCGATTTGACCGATAGTAAGGTCATTATTCAGATCCACTGCAAACGTCAATACTAGTTGAAAGTAAAAACAAACGCCAGGGCGAGGGAGGCTTAGTTCTGCATCCGTTCTCAGTAGGTTGAAAAATGCTTAACATACTCAGAGATCGACCCACAATGCACACGGCAGGCAGCAGAAGGAAGCTGGGGTCAGATCGCAGGGGGGAATTCTTGGCAAAAAAAAACAAAACGACCTGGCAGGAGTTTTAGTCTGCCGCTCTGCCTGGATTCCAGACTAAGCCGGGACAGTTTCTGACTTAGGGAAAATACCGTTGAGAATATGATTCCGTTTAGATGGCATCTTGTACGTTAGCAGTCAGCTAAATCCTACCTCGAATGACACTAGAACAGGCTCTCCCTGCCTCTATACGCTGCCTGCCTTGCATTTAACAGCCGATGAACAAACGTGACTCATTATCTGATATTGCAACCGTGAGGCGTGACCATTAAGCAGATAGGAACTTGCAACCAGAAGGCTATCGAGACAAACAAACGCGCAATCGCATGGCATGCAGAGGTAATAAAAACAGGCGTGTCTGTTGGCTTGGCGGAGAAATCGATGGCTTGGGAAATTAAGAACTGATATGATGCGATATGGCGGATGGTGTTTGAAATCCAATAAGGCCGCCTCAGATGCGAAGTAGTCCAAGGACCAGGGCCCCGCCGACGGGGGATCTCACCCAGG